ACGCCCTCTCGCGCCTCGACTCGGAGAAGCGCGCCAAGGAGAAGTCCGTCGAGGCCAACCGCGAGCTCAAGAAGGTCGTCCTCGACCGCGAGCGTCAGTCCCTCGAGTCCCTCTCCAAGTTCAACTCGGCCCTCGAGTCCGACAAGCAGATCCTCGAGGACGAGATCGGCGACCTCCACGAGAAGAACAAGCAGCTCCAGGCCAAGATCGCCCAGCTCCAGGACGAGATCGACGGCACCCCGTCCTCGCGTGGTGGCTCCACCCGCGGCGCCTCGGCCCGCGGTGCCTCCGTGAGGGCCGGCTCCGCCCGCGCCGAGGAGTAAGCAGTCGTGCCTCCCTCTGTGCACCACTGCCTCCCTCTCTACACTTCTTACCCTGTGCTTTATACACCCATAAAACGCTTTTCGTACCAATCCCATCTGCGATCGTTCATCGTCACACACGTGTTGCCCCAGTGTCATAATCTAATAGTGTTATGATGGTCTCTTTACCAAGAAAGTACAAGAAGAAGGAGAGCGTTTCAGCTTACAACTGGGAGTGGGAGGCTCGGCGGCGGAGCACAACAAAAGCAACAGCGGCAGCAACACCAACGACAAGTATCACTCCGCCGGCCACCGCGATGGCAACGATGCCAAAGCCCATCCACCGGTCGTCGTCTGTGTCGTTGTCGTGTGCTCCTCCACCTCCGCAGTTGGTCCAGTTTGCCGGGCGGATGGCGAGGGAGTAATAGGACGGACCACCTCCGGCCGGGTGGTAGTAGTAAACGTGGTCCGTGCAGCCGCCCAGGCCCAGCTTCGCGCTAGGCCCAGTGTCGACTTGACTGGCGGTGTTGCAGGCTGCGGGCCGTCCGGTGTCGTTGAAGACGTAGGGGCTGTAGGTCTCCGAGAGCAGGTCGCGGTGGATCATGAAGGAGGTGAAGTTGCTCGCCAGGGCTCCCCACTGGCCCTCCTCAACGTAGCACGTCGCCACGTTGTACTCTGCGCTCTTGAACGCGGCGGGGCACTCGTACTGCGACCCGTCTGCGTTGCGCAGGCACGGACCTTCGCAGAACACGGCCACGGCTGCCGACTGTCGCCTTGCCCCATCGGCTGAGTCCCCGCTGGCCGCAAGCCTGACTATCAGCACCGCCAGCAGGCAGATCACGGAAAGGATGAAGGATTCGCTCCCTGGCCGGTGAGAAGTTGTTTGATGTGGTGGGGTGTGAAATTTCTGTCAATTCGTAACTTCGTTGTAAACTCCTTAACTAACCAGACCAATTAAATCTCCTTTTGACCTCCACATCCGCCTGTTGGTTGCGGACGACGGTGATCAAGAGTTTGAGCTCAATAAAAAAGCCAGCAGCGTACCCATTCTTTTTCCTTTCTCTCTGCCGGGCGCCCAGCCGGAGGCAAAATCGCGAAGTCGGGCCGGGTCGTCGGGACCAACCAGCAGGAGGGTGGTGGCCACGAGAGAGAATTTCTCGGCCAAACAGCCCAGGCTCGACATTCTGATGCCTATCATTTTTAGTTCGTGGAACAATTTAGCTCCGATCGAAATAAATGAGCCTCAGCCGTTCTGCTTTTCTTCTTTGTAGCAAACTTTAGTTG